AGATGTACTCCCTCTGAGCAGAGGCAGCAGCTTGAAAGGCACCAAGGACATACGTGGTGGCGGGGGTGGGGGGGCAGAACTGAAGTGTCTGGCATCAGGCGGAGTGCTGGGGTGGGGGGGCAGGCAGCTTTGTCCCAGACAAAAGTGCTGGCAGAGGCCATTGTTCTTTTTATGAGCCATCTTCCTCTCTCAGGGCCAGCAGGCAGGCACCATATCTGAATCTCCATCAACCTGGCTCACGTTGTTTGGCCTGCCCTGGTGATTTCATGAGAACCTACCCCACGAAAATTTTGGGTCCACCCAAGCTGTTTCTAGTGCCTTTTCCATATGAATGGTGTCTTGGTTCATGCTTCAGGCTTTCCTAAAATCTCTCAGACAAGCAACAGTTGGCCTCAGCGTGCCCCATACCCCTCACTATGCAGCTCCAAGCCCAGCACAAGTAGCAGCCAGCTATAGATAGCTTGGTAGCTCAAGCTGGGTGGCCCTGGGCAGAACACAAGCCATGGCTGACTTTAACCTGTACCTCCCAGGAGGCTCCAGAGCCATAGACCAGGTGGACAGCTTTAGACCATGTCAAAACACCATCCAACCACCTCCACAAGGACACACTCAAGGAGCAAACTAAGCAGGCACCAGGCCCCACTGAAGTTAAGTCCTGCTTTGTGGAGCAGGCCCTGAACAAGCAATACTTTATGGTGGTCAATGGTTGCAGCCCGTCATTGGGGTAGATTGGCCTGGGGGTAAATCCCTCCTATTGAGATACCAACAGCAATCAAGGTTCAACTATAAGGGGAGGGTGTACACAGCCTTCAGGATGGGGGAGGTGGAGGACACAACTGTAATGCCCAGCTTGGGTGATTCAGGAGGCTGTGCCACTAGACCATACAGGACACCTACTACATTAGGCCACTCTACCACACCCATGACACATAGCAGCCCTACCTAATACCTAGAAACAAACACAGAGAGGCTTCCAAAATGAGGATACAAAGAAGCATATCCCAAATGAAAGAACAGAACAAAATTCCAGGAAAAAAAAACTAAACAGAGACAAGCAGTCTACTAGATGCAGAGGTCAAAACACTTGTTATAAAGATACTCAATGAACTTAGAGAAAGAGTAGTTGAACTTAGAACTTCAACTGCATAAAAAAGGACATGTAGCCCTGTCTGGGTGGCCCAGTTGGTTGGAGCATCATCTAATACACCAAAAGACTTTGGGCTCAATCCCCAGTCAAGACACATACCTATGCTACAGGTTAGATTCCCAGTCGGGGTGCATATGGGAGGCAACTGATTGATGTTTCCTTCTGACATCGATGTCTCCCTCTCTCTCTCTCTCTCTCTCTCTCTCTCTCTCTCTCTCTCTCTCTCTCTCTCCCTCCCTTCCTCTCTCTCTAGAATCAATAAACATACCCTTAGGTGAGGATTTTTTAAAAAGGATATGGAAACAATAAAGAAGAACCAGTCAGAAATGAAGGATACACTAACTGAAATAAAGAATAATTTACAGGGAATCAACAGAGTAGATAAAGCCAAGAATAAAATCAGAGATTTAAAATATAAGGAAGCAAAAAAAAAAACCACTCAATCAGCACAGCAAAAAGAAAAAAGAATCCAAAAAGAAATGAAGTAGTGTTAAGGAGACTCTGAATCAACTTTACACATACCAACATTCACATAATAGGGGTGCTGGAAGGAGAGGATAGAAAGCAAAAATTTCAAAACCGACTTGAAAAAAATAATGACAGAAAACTTCCCTAATTTGGTGAAATAAATTCACATACAGGTCCAGGAAGCATAGAAAGACTCAAACAAGATGAACCCAAAGAGACTCACACCAAGGCACATCACAATTAAAATGTAAAAGGTTAAAGACAAAGAGAGAATCGTAAAAGCAGCAAGAGAAAAGCAATTAGTTACCTACAAGGGAACTCCCATAAGACAGTCACCCAATTTCTCATCAGAAACTTTTCAGGCCAGAAGGAATTGGCAAGAAATATTCAAAGTCATGAAAAACAAGGACCAAGATTATTCTATCCAGCAAAGCTATCATTTAGAATCAAAAGACAGATAGCTTCCCAGACAAGAAAAAGCTAACGGAGTTCATCACCACCAAACCAGTATTACATGAAATGTTAAAGGATTTTCTTTATGAAGAAGGAAAAAAGATAAATATGAACAACGAAATGGCAATAAATACAAATCCATCAGCAAACAAATCTTTAAAAAAAAACAAAGTAAACAAACAAGCAGAGCAGAAACAGACCCATAGCTATAGAGAACATTTTGACAGTTGCCAAATGGGAGGAACGACTGAGGGGATGGGTGAAAAGGTGAGGGGATTAAGAAGTACACTTTGGCCCTGGCTGGCATAGCTCAGTGGATTGAGCGCGGGCTTCGAACCAGGCATTGCAGGTTCGATTCCCAGTCAGGGCACATGCCTAGGTTGCAGGCCATGGCCCCCAGCATGTTTCTCTCTCTTTCTCTCTTTCTCTCTCCCTTCCCTCTCTAAAAAATAAATAAATAAATAAATAAATAAAATCTTAAAAAAAAAAAAAGAAGTACACTTTGGTTGTTGCAGAACAGTCATGGGAATGTAAAGTACAGCATAGGGAATATAATCAATAATATTCTGATAACTATGTATGGTGTCAGATGGGTACTAGATTTATCAAGATGATCACTTAGTAAGTTATATAATGTCTAATCACTGGGGTGTACACCTGAAACTAATATAATAACGTATGTGAACTGTAATTGTAAGATAAAAGTGATTTAAAATTTTTGGTAGAAAATATTGAGTAATCAATGGTGAGATTACAGTGGGGGATCCACTAAAAGATTTAACCACATAGAGGCTACAGGTGACCCAAGACTAGAGAAGATCCGAGAACGGTTGGTGATAAATGACCTGTCTTGGTCAGTGCCTGGGCTGTGAGCCCAAATGGTGGTGTGTAAACAGGAACCTTTGTGAGACTGGTCACAGATGTTCCTTTCCTACAAGGGAGATGCCTACACTGCAGGAAACTCCCTTCTCCTCCCCCTAAGCTTGGGTGTTATTGCTCTGGGTGCTGTTCTAAAAGCCTTCCACCCCTATTTGCTCTCTTTCCAGCCCAATGAAATATCATAAAGCCAAATCAGGGGGCTTAGAGCTGGAGAAAGAGAAAGAGGGAGTCTCTGGTCCTAGATACCAACAAATGGTTTACACCAAAGAAGGCTTTTCTATCATGAAATCAGTGTATTTATTTGAGAACTCAAGAAAATGGGAACTACCTCCTCACATCCCTCTTCCCTGGTATCACACACATATAGCCCTGGGAACTTCCATATGCTACCTTCTCTTCCATATGCACAGCCACTTTTCAACACCCATTTCCCTATTCTCCTTGATGTATTTGCAACCCCATTCCCTTCTCTCTCCACCCCAGCTGGCATCTTTCATGGATCTAGGTGGAAAAAACAGACATTCAGCTTTGTGGATTTTAAATTTAAAGATATCCAGAGTGAAGAATGCTAGAATAGTGAAATTCTGGACCCACAAACTCAACTTTGAATTCCATCTAGCAAGAGCACCTTGATGGCACCAGAGCAGAAACCAATCAAGGTTAAGAAGTTCCCATAGCACTGTGTAAAATCTGTAGATGGCTTACATTGCTTTTAACAAGATCTGAAGAAACATTCCATTCCTTAGGGCTTCTGCTGGCATGACTCAACCTCAGAAAATCATTACAGAATTATCATCATTATGACATGATCATATTACAATTATCCCCTGTGTGGTCTGGGTACATTAAAGTAACTGAGTTCTCTCACTAAGAGTTCATTATAATCATAATGTGCATAAGATTTTTTAAAGTGTGTTGAAAAACAAGGGCATAAATACTGGGAACAATAGAATCTTGCAGAGAATTCTCTAACATTCATTCAGACACCATAATCTTGTCTTGTGATATGGAATGAGGACTGTAACTGAATAATGGGCCAATTATTTTAATATAATTTGTGCTTCTAAGTTTTCTGTGATGCAAAACCCAATAAGCCGTTTTCTTTCAGCCCAAATCTGGCCAGCTGGGTGCATTCACCCATCTTCACAATATTTAAGGGTACCCTTATAAGCCCTGGTAAGTAATGCCAAAGTCTATGAAAATTATCCAGAGAATAGAGTCAGTCTAGTTATATCAATACAGGCATAGTCCCTAATATGTTGAAGAAAAGGAAAAGCAACCAGCCCCTGAGAATTGTCTTAAACAAAGAATGTAAAAGAATAGCTTTATATGCAAAGATATTTATTATTGACAATAATAAAAATGAAACTTACCTATGTATCTGATCACGGTAAAATAGTGGAGAATGGAATATTGAGCATGGAATGAGAATAGAATGGAATATTATGCAGCCATTAAAAATTGATACTGGTGATGCTGAGAGTGGAAATATAGAAAATTGTTTCCAATATAATGTTAAAAGTGTCATCTATACTATGATTCCAACTACATAAAATAAGAGCATATTTAGATAAGTAATGGAAAGAAAAGAGCTATTTTCTTAAGGTGATTGGACTATAAATGATTCATCTTTATAATCATTTTTTTCCTAGCTGTTATAAGGTTTATTATATAATAAATAAATAAAACGGAGGAGAAAGGAAAATACTTAAGTGAGATATTTTCTGTATCAGGCCAAAAAATATTAATGCTTAGGATAGTTTTGCATTCTTCCTTGCTCCTTCAAAGCAGCCTCTAACTTTTACCAGGATATGGGGAATATGTATGTCTGGGTTGGTGGGCTGGAGCAGGGGGTTGGGCCTTGACAGAAGACTGTGCTGTTTGTTTAAGGGAACAGAAACCCTTCTAGCTTCTTTGATGACAAAAGCATTTGAATCATTTGTTGATATGGGTTTTCTGTGATAAACATGCAGAAAAATCTTGCTAAAATATGATGCATTTTCTCTTTCATTTCTCTTTTTCTTCCCCACCTCTCCCCTTCCCCTTTCTGCAGTTCTGCTAAGCCAATATTCTCTAGAATGAGCACAAGCTAAACAAATCGAATTAACAGCTTTCGTACATCAACATCAAGAAGGAAGACACTTGGGAGAGACAAGAGTACAGCGATGAATATGAACAAGAGTGAAACATCCACTTGTCAAATCTAGATTGGCAGAGATGGGAGTGATTTTCTAGAAAGAAATGTGATTATGGATTAAACACCAGCTCACTGGAAACTATCATTGTACAAGATCAGATAACATTCACAAGAAATTGCATTCATACAAAATCACATTCAGGAAATATTTCAAGGAAGAGGAATGTAAATGTGCTAGAATTAACATGTAAAATATATATGTACTGAGGTTTGTAAACTGTCCTTTTTTTTAATCAAACTGAAAACAAAAAGCTTTAATTTTTCAACATTATTTTAAAAAAAGGCAGTCAATCCTAACATTTCTATCTCAGTAGCCAAAAAGCTAGTCAAGCATCATTTATTGAGGAAGTGTCTTAGAAAATGCCTCTGAATACCTTCATAGGAGCCATGATCTTTGGTTCTCCCATCTCTGCTGTTCTATTTTTTTTCATGTGTAATTAGTTACAATCACTCAGTTAAGAGATGTAACACTGCAAAGTTTTTACCAAGTGTGTGTTCAGTTTAAAGTCTGTACAAGTCATCACTGAGAAAGTGTTTCTGAGGTATACTGTTACTCCATCAAGCTGTATATTACAGGAAGTACATCTTTACATCATAGGTTCCCGAGCAGCATAGATTTCCCTATCTTTCAGGAAATAGCATCAAGGAATTTTGAAAATATAGAAAGTTCATATTCACCTCTGATGCTCACATGTAATACATAGGCTGCTATCAAATAAATACTTTTTCTAATTCTCCCTAGTATATGCATAGGAATTTAATATACTTTATAAATAGGCATATGCAATATCTCTTCTTTTCCTTCCATATCATTTCTTTGCCATACATATCATGAGAAATCATATTCTTTCTTTCCTTTACTGACAGGCACTCATTTTTGTTTTTTAAAAAAATCATTTCATTAAACCTATTTCTAAATGATAGTAAGTGGTACTAAATAAATAAATAATAATTTATTAGCCTTAGAAATAAATGAATATATACTTATACAGGTCAAAGAAACTTGGTAGAAATAAATTGCCTTTTGTTTACTAACATTGGTTTCAAAAATGTTCAATTATTTCTAGTTGGTTGACATCTGAAGGTAGCTACAACTGGTTAGTTGTCTTCAACAATCTTGCTCCCAGGTTTACCCCCATCCACCACTATCCTCACCACAAATTCTGCCAATATGCCACAACAGAAAAAAATATTTAGTATTGAAGTAACCAATTGCTTGAGAATGATCACAAGCTAAAAGGTACATACAGGAATAATCAATGTAAGCCAAACCATGTCCCATACCTGAGCAGAAAACATGCCTTCATTTTGCAACTCAAAATTAAGATAAGATAATACAAGATGTAATACAGATCACAGTTGATCTCTCCTACCTTCTCACTGTTAGGGCCGTGCTCCTATTTTTGCCAAATACAGGGTCTGGCAGAAGTAACTCCTGCTTGAGTATGGTTAGTAGAGTATGTGAATGTCTCTCATGAGATGGACAGCAATTTGAACATTCCACCTAAAATATCATATGGTATGCTTTGAGTGTGATATTATTATGTTAAAGAATTACATACTTATGATTTTGTAATAAAAGGGGGGCATTATTTGTGCTGGACCCCAGTATTTCTGACAATAACCATCTTTTCACCAAAAATGAGATTATTTTTCAAATGGCTAAAAGTATGTTACAAGTATGCTCAAATCAGTGAAATCCAATTCACAAAGACATGGATTTTCTAAAGAACTAAATTAGGGAATAATTATCTCTAGTGTAGCCATTCTAGGAGTTATTGTTTTGCATTAAATGTTAGCTCTCCCACTGAATTCAAATAACCCTACTTACTAAATTTAATTACACACAACTTTTCAAAAATTAATCTTTTATTTAAAGGGAGTTACTCTCTACTTTATCTGCAATAAAAATAGAAGGCATTGGGTTTCCCTAACCCATATAAATTACAGATTCCATTGGTAGTTTTACATCACTAATAGTGGTGTTTACAAAATTGAAAAAGTGTTTTCTAACCATATACAAATGTTTTTTAAAAGTTGTTTCCACAAAACCTAAGTGTAATTTAGCATACCACAGTGCTCTGAAGATGAATCATTGATGATATACGATTTGTACATAGGTAATACACATATAAATCACTAAATGTGAAGTATAAGAAACATGTTTTTATCTTTAAAAAAATTAAGTGACTCCCTTTCTCATTCTGTTATGTTGTATTGTGTCCAAAAGTTGTGCGTAATTTTTTAAGGTCCAAAAAATATTTAAAAATTTGTTGGAATACCTGAATTTCTGTAAAAAATAAAAATAAGATTTTGTTATTTTAAAGATTGCTTGGTTGTGTGGTACACATTCAGTGCATTCAGTGTCTGTCTTTGTCCAGTGATGCAGGGACAGGTGATGATTTTTCTTTTTTTTTCACTGAATTTGTCATTTTTTTCTTTTTCTCATTCAATTACAGTTGATGTACAATATTATATTAGTTTCAAGTGTATAACCCCATCATTAGACATTTATATAACTTAACAAAGTAAGCACCCACAGGTGATGATTTGACTGAAATAACTATCCTCAAAACATCTCCTTGCTATCACATGCCATAATAATGTGTCACCAGCAGACATTTATTAGATAAAAAGGACCTTCATGTAAAAGGTATGATTAATATCTCCAAAGCCTCTTTTAGCCAAATATAAACATACCTCAGACTAAATCTTCATATACTCATCAGAATAAAATTGATAAGTGAAAAGCCTGACTATTCAAGTAAAACTTGACCTTAAATATTGAATTAATTGTTCAGTCTTTACTTTGCAAATTGAAAACAGCCACCTGTTCCTCAGACATAAGCAACACTTTTGCTTACACAATAGTTCATACTGAACATGTGTTGTCTAGGTGGATTACAGTGTCAGATTCTTCATTTACTATATGAGTCTGAACAACTCTAGATCTCAGTGTCCTCATCTATAAGATGGATATAAATAATAATCCTTGGCCCCATAGTAGTGTATGAAAATATAAATTACAATGGTGTTACTATGCATGACAGGTAGGAGATAATCAATGATGGTTAATTCCTTTCCTTTCTACTATATGCAAGTCACTGAAGGAAGAAAAAAATAGAAAGCACAGCCTCTGCTTTCAAAATGCTGAAGACAATTAGAGTAACATTTTTGATCAGGGATTGAAAGTTCAAATGCCTATGAGGCCAGGTAGGTAAATAAAAAAGCAAAGTAGGCTTGGTTGGGGACATAATAGGAAGTAGTGAACACTGGAGAACATAGGTCCTGTCTAAAGAGAATAAGTAGTCAATGTTCGGATCTAGTCACTCAACAAATAAGTATGGAGTTCCTACTGTGTGCCAGGTATTGTTCTAAACCCTGAGAAGATAGTGGTAAACCAGACTAGCAAGATCCCTTGCTCTTCAAGGTCTAGTAGAAAAAGAGATGAAAAACAAGAAAATGTCAGCTGAAAATAGTTACCTTAGAGAGAATTAAAACATGGTGATATTTGTCTTTCCTTGACTATCTTATTTCATTTATAATATTCTCCACTTCCATCCATACTGTCATAAAAGGCAAGGAGACAAATACCATATGATCTCACTTATAAGAGGAATCTAGCCCTGGCTGGTGTGGTTCAGTGGATTGAGTGCCGGACTGTGAAGCAAAAGGTTGCCAGTTCGATTCCCAGTCAGGGCACATGCCTGGGTTACCAGCCAGGTCTCCAGTAGGGGGCGCATGAGGGACAACCACACATTGATGTTTCTCTCCTCTTTCTCTCTCCCTTCCCCTCTCTCTAAAAATAAATAAATAAAATCTTTTTTAAAAAGAGGAATCTAATGAACAAAATGAACTAATGAGCAAAATAGAACCAGAGACAAAGACATGGAAACATGGAACAGACTGATAGCAGGCTGAAGAGAGGGGGAAGGAGAATAGTGGAAAGAAGGGGAAGGGACTAGTCAAAGAAAATGCATGGATAACCCATGGACAGGGACAACAATGTGAGGATTAACTGTGGGAATGGGGAGTGGGTTTGGCAAAGGAAGGCAAAGGGGGGAAAATTGGGAAAACTGTATAGAATAACAATAAAAAGTAAAAGACAAAACCTGTGATAATGGGGAGGCTAATCAAGAAAGGCTGCTATGAAAAGGTGACCTTTAAATGAGAATGATAATGATCCAGGCCCTGGCTGGTGTGGCTGGATGGAGTGCTGGCCTGCAAACCAAAGCATCACTGGTTCAATTCCCAACCAGGGCACATGAATGGGTTACAGACCAGGTACCCAGTTGGGAGTGTGAGGGAGACAACCACACACTGGTATTTCTTTCCCTCTCTTTCTCCCTCCCTTCCTTTCTCGCTAAAAATAAATAAATAACATATTTTTAAAAATGGACTTCCTGGAAGTCTATTTCCTTTGCCAGATTGGGAAAGTTCTCCTTCATTATGTTTTCAAATAAGTTTTCAATTTCTTGCTCTTCCTCTTCTCCTTCTGGCACCCCCAAGATTCAGATGTTGGAATGTTTCAAGTTGTCCTGGAGGTTCCTAAGCTTCTACTCTTTTTTTTTTTTTTGAATTCTTGTTTCTTCATTCTGTTCTGGTTGAATGTTTATTTCTGCCTTCTGCTCCAATTTATTGATTTGAGTCCTGGTTTCCTTCTCTTCACTGTTGGTTCTCTGTGTTTTTTTCTTTATTTTACTTTTCATAGCCTTTACTTTTTCCTCTATTTTGCAACCATACTCAACCATTTCTGTGAGCATCCTGATTACCAGTGTTTTGAATTCTGTATCTGAAAGGTTGGCTATCTCTTCATTGATTAGTTCTACTTTTGGAGCTTTGATCTGTTATTTCATTTGGGCCAGATTTCTTTGTCTTGGCCCACCTGTTATGTGGTAAGGGGCAGAGCCTTAGGTATTCACCAGTGTGGGGCAACCCACATTGCTGCATTGTGGCACTGTATGTGGGCTAGGGGTCCGAGAGGGAACAATGCTGCTTGCTTGGCTCTGGGCCAGCTTTCAGTCACTTCCGCTGATACCCACAAGCAAATTGGGCCCTTCTGGTGCTAATTCCTGAGTGGGTGGGCTTGTGTATGTTCTTGAACCCTGTGGTTCTCTCCAACAAACTCTCCTGTGAGGCTGGGAGTTTCTCCTGTGATGTCAACCCTCACAGGTTTTTACAGTCAGAGGTTTTGAGGCTCTATTTCCTCAGGCTGGAACCCTGGGTTGTACGATCTGCCTCACTCCCCAGTTGTTCCTCCCAGTTTATCCAAACACAAATGTGGAATCACCAGCTGCCATCTTGCCCACCCAGTCCTCCAATTACCACCTTGCCACCTGTCCTCTCTGCCCTGACTACCCATCTCTGCCCCTCCTGTCAGTCTGGATAAATATTTCTTCTTTAACTCCTTGGTTGTTAGATTTCCATATAGTTCAATTTTCTGGCAGTTCTGGTTATTTTTGTGGTTAAATTTGTTGTTGTCCTTCTTTTGCTTGTGCATGGAAGCAAAGTATATCTACCAATGCCTCCATCTTGGCCAGAAGTCCTACAGTGAGTTTATTTTTTAATACACAGCTTAGTTTGCGAGAAAGTAAGTGAAATCCCAAAGGTGTAAAAACAGAAGAAATAGAATAGTAAACTGAAGACTGAGTGTGAAGTGTAAGCAAATGCAAAAATTGGGACTGCCTGAGGCAGCTCCATATATCAGAGTAGGGAATGAGAGACAAAGCCTTGGGCAATGGAACTGAATGAGCTAAATTTGAGAATCTCACTCTAAAACAGGATACCTGAAGGTGACTACAACCTTAGACAAGGGTGGCCCAGGAGAAATATTCATGCTAGGCAACAAAAGAAGCCTATCAAGAACTCTCGGTGGGAGGGGGGCTGGATTGGGAGTAAAAGGAAAAAAACTGTATTTGAACAATGATTAAAATAAAATTTTAAGAAAAGAAAATTTAACTCAATTTTTAAAGGACATTTTAAAGTGTTTAATTATTAAAATTTCACCTGTGAAAACAAACAAACAAAAAAAGAACTCTCTACACTGGCTCTTGATGGAGGGGAAAAAACAAAAAACAAAAACAAAGAAAAAGAGGAATAGCCACCTCTGAAATTTTTAACCCATGAATCTGGCCCCCTCAAGCCTGCAATTTAATCTTACATACTCCATATGGTCAAAGAAATTACAAACCAAGAAATTAAAGAGCTTGCTAGAGCCCTGTAGCTGACAGATACAAGCACATCTCTTGGCTGGGCCAGATCCATGTTAGAGAAAGCATCTCTAACATGGATCCCACCAATTAAGGTCAACAAAGTATGAGCCTCTTCTGTTCCTGAACATCTTGCAAGCAGAGATACTGACTGCCTCTATTCCAGGCTATGTTTTCAAGGCTCTGGATGGCCAGCAGCCTGGAAAGACAGAGGGAAGCTCTCCCTCCACAGAAAAGAATAGGTTTGTTCATTGTTCTGTAATAAAGATAATGTGTCCTTCTGGGGCAA